TTCATTATATGATATTGGATAGGCATCTTATATACCTTAGTAGTAGTATTTGAATTTTCTGGCAAAGTGCTCTGTAGAAAAATTATACAGTATTTTGAGCTCCTCGGTATATGTAGGCCTATTGCAAGTAAAAAAAAATAGACAGGACCAAAGGTTAGAATACCAGAAGGTCGTTTTATTTACGAAATGACTTCCACTAATTTGCATAGTTGGTACGTCTACTGTAGTAGTAATTGAATTTTCTTGCAAAGTGCTCTGTAGAAGCGCTATTTGACGGATATTTGAGCTACATAAAAATAGACTATGCATTTTGCAAAAAAAAACAAAGTTTTACTAATTGAAGTTTTATATTGACTGTAAATAAATAAATAAAATAAAAATAAATAAATAAAAAATAAATCTTAGAACTGTTTGAATTGGCCTTGGATTAATAATTTTCTTTGTACCTTTATGTATTTTGTATATTTTCATTATTTGAATTTTAGATTAATCAACTGTAAATAAATGTTAACAAAGTTTTACTAATTGAAGTTTTATATTGACTGTAAATAATAAATTATTACTAGGTTTGTAATTTACAAATATTTCTGGAAGTTAAATTCTATTTTCCTCTTAAATTGTACTTAATGACTTTTTAATTTTCTTTTTTCGCCTTTTTTAGCTAATAATGTTAATGTTGTTGTTTGTTATGATGCTGTAGACTTACATTTGTGTATGCTTCTTTCTTTAATTAATCTTTGTAATAAGGGTTTTATATTTCTGTATTTTTAATTCTAATAATTCAATTGTAAGCTCTTCATTTCAATCTTGTATTGTTTTTGAGCATGTTTATACCGAATAAAATAAAATAAAATGTAGGCCAAATAAAATGAATTACTAGTTTTTCTAGCCAATAAAATAGAAAATACGTTCTTGGTTTTACGTTCCCTTCCTCATTAATCATCATAGAAATATTGTTTTGCTTAGGCTTAGGAAGTGTAAATAGATTCTTTGTAACTTTCATAAATACAACTTATATTCAGTTTTCCTGTTGTTGATGAGATAACAAAAGAGGTACAGTTAATGCCCTTACTCAAAATTAATCCCAGGGGCCTGAATCTAACAAGATATTCTAATTGACATTAAAAGACATTACATAATGACAATTGCTTTCATTCTGGAACTTGATATGTTCAATTTATTTCAAGTAGACCAACTGGCTATTTAGCTACTTAAAACAGTGCTGTATAATGAAATTATACCGACATATAACATTATTATCTGCTATGTTGCTATAGTATTACTGTACATATTTTTAATATAAGTCCCTGAAAGATGACAACACTATTATAACTATTCATGACTCTAAATAGCCTTTAAACTGTATGTAATTCATTATTCAACATATGAGTAGAGTAATATAGCAATAATTTAACTATCTATGCAACATGTAACTGAAATTTAGCAAGGCAAACTGTTCAGTGGATACTATAGTATGCTGTGAGTAAGACTGATGACACAAAGCACACATTTTTATCAGTCTATAGAATTTAAAACTAATTAAGACAATGCTTCTGTGTGGGAAAATGACAACTCTGTGTGCCTGACAATACTACTGCACCCTTCAGGAGAATCCTAAATGTTCACAGATAAATGGGTGATCACTGGCTTATGTTATATTTACAGTAGTGTAATAATAAGTCATTTCTCGAAAAAGCAAAATCAAAGTTTGTAAAACAAAGTTGCGTTGGGGCTTTGAATTTCTTGCTTAAAAAAAAAATATAACGCGTTTTGATGTAAATTTGATCATCATTATAGAGTTTACTTCTTGCCATGTGTCTTTCCTAAACCAGTGTTTTTTGCAACACACACTTTCATGTTATGTGGAGCTGGTCTTCGTGTTTTCTTAGGCAGGACAGAAGGCAATAAAGAGCTGGATAAATTTCTGGACTGTACTGTGTGCAACATCCCGATAACGAAGAGCATCAGCCGATTCAAGTACATGATTATGATCAAAGTTCATCTTGACAACCATTGCGTATTCTTTGTCGTGCCTATCTGTACTTCTAAAAAAGCAAAATTAGAAGGACCTATCAGTTATTAAATAAAATGCCATCTCAGTTTTTAAATATGAAAAAAAATAAAATATAGTATAAAATGGGTAAAACATGACTGGGCCATAAACACTCAATGATAATATATTTAATTCTCATATTTTTAACATACTCTATGTTCACAGTAAACTTAATTAATTATATACAGTTAGCTATTATAATAATTTACATTTTGAACATAATATTGTATAATACAGTCTTAAAATATTTATGCTTAAGATCTAATAATGGCACAACTGACAAATAAATGGTTCGTAAAGTTTGATGTTTAAGGACTGAAACAAATATAGCATGGGGCCTACTGCAGAGAGTGGTTCTTTAGTCAACTAATTAAAAGAGCTTTTTTTTGTAGAAACTTATTGTTAAGTGACAAAAATATGATTACCAATAATATGAAAAATATTATCATGTTAATAAATAAAAGTTTAGCTAAATACTTAGACAAAAAATAAACAAATGAATTAATTCAAAATTCCTATATTAATGCTAACAGATGTTTTAACTTACAAATCATTAAAATTATGGCATTAATTAACTTTTTTTTTGTACATCCCACCTAATGAAATGAAATTCGCAATGAAATTATATGGAATTCTCAATCCATGATAATTTATAGTAATAACATTTCAAACCCATAAGGCAGTACATAAATGTGCCACTTAGTTTATGACAATTTTTATATGGCACCCTCAAATTGGAATACAATGAATTAACATTTTTGTAACTTGATTATAATGAGTGTTTAGGATATTTATAACTTACCGTGAATATTTTACAGTTCTCTTTACTGTAATTAAAGCAGATGCCCTGCAATTTGTATTTTTTGTAGCAAATTTTTCATTAGCAGTGGCCTTACTCCGAGTTAGATGCTGGCATCTATATGATATCAAATTTAAAGGGACAAAGAATTGATACATTACTGAAGTAAATGTATGTAAATTTTCTAGACAAAAACATCAATATTAGTATTGAAAATAATATATAGTGTTGTAAAGCATCCCATAAAATGTATGATAGTCCAAAAAAAAAAAAAATTTACATTAAGACAATTAATTATAGGCCTACACTATTTTAATCAACTCATCCCTGAATCCATACACCTAATTTAATATAAAATTATTTTTGTTAAATTACCTTTAATTAACTTTATTAAATTACCTTTCTGCATATTATCTTAATTTTATTATTGTTTTATTTTTTTTTATTTGATACTGGTAGTGAAACTATACCCCACCTTAGGTCTGGGCTATACAGGTTTTACACCAGCAATATGATATCTAATTTAAAGGGACAAAGAATTGATACATTACTGAAGTAAATTTATGTAAATTTTCTAGACAAAAACATCAATATTATTATTGAAAATAATATAGTGTTGTAAAGCATTCCATAAAATGTATTGTAGTCCAAAAAAAAAAAATTTACATTAAGACAATTAATTATAGGCCTACACTATTTTAATCAACTCATCCCTGAATCCATACACCTAATTTAATATAAAATTATTTTTGTTAAATTAACTTTAATTAACTTTATTAAATTACCTTTCTGATTATTGTTTTAATTTTTTTTTATTTGATACTGGTAGTGAAACTATACCCCACCTTAGGTGTGGGCTATACACCAGCAATTACAAAGTGTGGTCAGATGTGTGAAGGTAACGGCTATTTAAAAATACTTTAAATCATGCAAGTAATTATAATACCTTAAAGACATTTTTACGACCAGATAGTGGATGTGTGCGATCAACTCTCATGGTTGTCAATGACTTCTCTTGGAACTGACTGAACCAAGTTCGTGCCCCTTCTTCAGTTGATATAGGCAGTCTTAGTGATATACAAGAGATGTTGCCGTTTTGTACAGTGTAATTACACAAGCAGTATTTATAATTTGGAGGAAGAAATGCCTAGAAAAAAATAAGCCATATAATAATAGAAAAGTTATATTTTCTTAGTAAAAAACAATGATTACATTTTATAAAAAAAAATTTATTAAATAATTCACTCACTCAAAAGAACATTATTATGCACTTTTAATTGGCCTAATGAAAATCATTTAAATAGAAAATAATGCTCAATAGAGATTATTATCACTGATTATATTAAGTGTATAGTTTGGTTTAGGCCTATATTAAGTGTATAGTTTGGTTGTATACTTATACAGTAATATAAGCAATGACCAACGCCTAGACGAACATACATAGGCCTATAGACAAATACTGTACTGCAATAATTTAAACACAGAACAGCGCAACAACCTGCCTATTAGTATTAAATTAGGCCAAGAATAATAGAACTAGGGACTATTCTAGGCCTATAGATCCGAAGATAGTTCTAGGAGGACTCTGACCACTCATTGCTTTCCTAGGCTACAAAAGGCATAGGTCTATGGCCTAGCATAGGCTTGTAGTAGTAGTAGTAGTTTTGGAAAATGCCTCTGGGTATTAAATAAATGTGATGATGATGATGGTTATGATGACGATATATACTATGAAGTTTTTGCTACACGTTTGTGTAGGTTACTTACCATAAACTTTAGGTACGCTTCGCATGTCAATGGCTCTGCATCTTCGTTGCAGACAGTGCATCTTGTCAATTCTGTTGATTGACTGACCATCGTCTTCATCTTCTCTCACGCAAGAATCCATTTTTTCTCGACTCGCGAATCGTAATCAGCAGAGAGCGATAAGAAGTTGTGTCTGACGTCTGATTAAATATTCAATAGTTATCTGACGTCATTTTAGGCTTCCTACATTCTGATTGGCTAAAAGAAACATATATTTGCTTATGTGTACTGCAGAAAAAAAATACGCCACCGGGACTGGCACCGTGCGTTAAGAGAACAGACGGCGGAGGGTCCTCGACCGTTTTTCTGGACGAACGCACCGGATACAATTTCGTTCGACAAGCGAACGAAACGGATGTCACCACCCAGGTGTGGATGACTTTCTCGTTGAAGGCCTATAACGACGAAGGGAGGATATTCCACGTCGACGACGGCAAGGGCGGTGACGCCTTGTCCGTATACCTTAAAGACGGTTTCGTGGAAGCATTATTCCGAACGGGGTCCACGCCTCTTCGAATCACCAGTCCGAAGCGCACCGCGATAGGAGAGTGGAGCTCTTACGGCATAAGCAGGTACTATCTGCACGTCCTAATGAGAATCGATTCGTTCGAAACACAAACGAACGTAATTGGGGGCGACGCTAAACTCGACGTGGGAAACGTGTACACGGTGGGCGCTAGTTACGATTCGCCGGGTGGTAACGGATGTCTGAGAAGACTTACGTTAAACCAATGGAAGATTCGAAGCAGCGAAATGATAGGACGTTGTCTAAAAAGGAATACTACCTATTCTACGTCGAAGGTTGAACCGACCACGAAGGAATCGACGACGAAGAAAACGACAACTGCCGAACCCACTACTGAGGCATCGACGACAAAGGAAGCGACAACCAAGGCATCGACCACGATGGAGTCGACAACGAAGGAATCGATAACTGCCGTACCCACAATCAAGGCATCGACCACGAAAGAATCGACAAGTAAGGAGTCGACAACGAATGAGTCGACAAAGCAGGTATCGACCACGAAGGAATCGACTACTACCAAACAGACCACGCCGGCATCGACCACGAAGGAATCGACAACTACCAAACAGACCACGGAGGATTCGACAATGAAGGAATCGAACGCGAAGGAACCGAAAACCAAAGAAGAAGAAACGACAAACTCTGAAAAAGAAGTCCTGAAAAACAGAGTATCATCGGACGGGTCGCCGTACGTCGGTTTGACAGCGATGCCCAACGACCTGACGTTCAGACTGAATCGGAACACGGGCGTCGCTTTCAGGCGACCACTAGGAAACTCTGTCGACGACCACAGGACGGACGTCGACGTAAGTTTCTATCTGAAATTGTCGTCCTTGGATAACGGGCGGATCCTGCA